CGTCCTCAAATTCGACTAAAGGGAAGGGCCTAAATGCAATGTCATTGACTCAAGTGAATAGTGCCTCGAGGGACCTATTTGTTGTAAATCGGGTGAAACTTTGGAAATTCATAGTAAATCGTAGAAAATTCGTAAAATAGTAAATGAGGACTTTTTAGAATGCTTGTGAAATTCTCTATGCACTAGATCTATAATATGTCAGGTTTTAGTTTAAAGTTTTAGCTGTAAAAATGGATTTGTGCAGTCAGGGTTTGAATGCTAGTCTTACTTGTTTTTTTTAAAACTGCAGTTGATGTGCTCAAATAAATGTGAAATTTTTGTGGAGTGCTACTAAGGTGATTGTTGTTGTCTGGTAAAAATTTCATGAGTTTAGGATTTATAGTTTAAGAGTTATAAAAATAACAAATGCCCTGTTTTGATTTGCTCCTATTCGGAACAGTTCTGCATGTTTGAATTAATTGGCTCAGTTAAGTTATGAATCATGATTTGATGACAATACATGAGTTTTAGTACTTTTCTTAAGCTTTCCAAAAAGTTAAATATTATGATTTTTGGCTAAGTAGATCTTGAGTTATACTTGCTTAAATCTCTGTGGCTGTTTCTGCCCAAACCCAGACAGGGTTTCCTTGTTCTTACTGTGGGGCCTTCTTAGTAGTAGAATTAGCTTTAGAGGTTTACAACAAAGTTGTTTAGAATTTGCTAAGCTTTCTAAAGAGTCTAGAACCACATTTATTTGACATGTATAACTCCATCTATAGCTGTTTAAAGTGGCATGTCAGTTTCTGTCTATGTTTTGGACAGAGATGCAATTATTGGATTAATTGACCCTTCTAACTGTAGAATCATCTTAATATGAGAATAATAAAGTTGTAGGTAACTTCCTAAGCTTTTCAAAAAGTTATGGTTCATGTTTGTTGGAGGTCTAGAACTCCAGTTATGCTTCTCTGAAGATGCTATCAGTTTTCTATACCACTGCTGTTGGGCTGGATTTGCAGTTTTTCTTGTGCAATTATTTTCGTGGTGTAAATGATGTTTGCTATGGTTGTAGTGAATACAAAAGTTGTATAAAATTTCATAATATTGCTGGTGTTCAAATTGTAAGACCATAGGCCTGATAGTTTAGGAGTTACATGACTTTTAAGTCTTCTATCAAGTTTTGATTTTATTCTGAGCAGATCTGAAAGATGCTAGTGTTTGATCTAGTTAGGATTTGAATGAGTTTTTGGTGATAATAACAAAGTTGTATATAATTCATGTATCTAGCTCCTGTTAAAATTTGGTGGTATTTGGCCTTGTGGTTTATGAGTTATGCCTGTTTAAAGTAGGGTTTCAGAAATGGCTGCTCTCTGTCTTGTTTAGACCAGTTTCTGTAAATGGGTATATTTGACTTAATTAACTTGAGAATCATGCTAAGATGATTAAATATGAATTGTAGATAACTTCATAAGCTTTCCAGAATGTCTTCTTGCAAGTCATTTGGATTTGTGTAACTCCAGTTATAGCTAAATCTTGTAGCTGCTGTTTGCATGTCCAGAAATTGACAGATTCCAATTATAGTTGTTTGCTTATATTTTGCTAAGTGTGGCTCATACCTTTGATGATGGTTGAGTTAGAGTACCTGAGATCTTAGGAAACTTGTGTCATGCTTGGTGTTGTCATCTTCTTTGCTATCGTGGCATGATAAATTGTGCGATATTTATAGTAAGCAATGTGAAGTGCTTGTGCATGTTAATGTAACCTTGTGCTTGTCTTACTTATCTGCATGCGATGCATTGCCTATTGCACTTCCATGTATTCATACACCTGCATCTTGCATCTCATTTAGGTACGCTAGATAAACCACGTGAAGGAGGTGATGTGGAGTCAAACCCGAAGATGGTGTTGGTGGATCTATCCAGAAGATGGAAGGACTCAAAGCAAGTGCTAGGACCGGAGATGTCACCAAGTTGGTGCAAGCTAAGCGAGGCCCGACTTGTGTCGGATCCCGTGCAAGCCCGGAGCATTTTAAGTCTCCCGATTGCTTTACAAATGATTACTTAAGTACTTATGATTGATGCATTAGGTTATAAGAGTTGAATGGAACCACTTGATGCATATAAATTCCTTGTCCAGATATTACACCTTTAACCGGTATAGGTCCAGGATCGAATATATGCTTAGCCATGCTTAGACCGGTAGAAGTCGGGTGATATCCTGTCACCTGCGAGATATAGGTGGATACCGGAGCACGGTTGGCTATATTTGCTATCGTGGAACAGAACCATGGGGTAAAAAAGAAAATCGAGGCGGGCGGAGTCTATGCGTAGGATGACTCATGTGATTCCGTCTGTCGTGCCGATCAAGGACCGCACCGTTGTTGGAACTTCCGACAAGATTGAACGCATGCCTATCACTTAGCTGGTCGGATAACTCGTTCCGACCATGGCCGAGTAGCTCAACTCGGGCGGGACCCGTTCATTATGCGCTCCTTGCGGGGGGCGATCGGTGAGCCCAAGGCGGCGGCTAAACTGAACGTCCCGGCATCTGGTGTCCCAGGTGTGCGGTGTGATACGGACCCGCGAAATGTGTACTGAGTTGTACCAAAGGTGACCTAAGGTGACCGTTGATCCCGGTCTGCACTGGGTTTGTGTTAGGAATAAATTCGGTGGTTGAAATCGATTGAATCGCCGTCTCTCCCGGATAGTGAGAAACTTGGCTAGCTCCAACATCGTAGTAAGTGTGTATGGAACATGATGGTTCGGATGAATATGGAATTACTACACTGCTATGGTTACTATTGTATGCTCTAAAACGATATACCACATGTTTGGCACATGATAGTTGCTAATCTAGAGATGAATAGTTCTAATTAACTTGATGACAGAATTATAATTGTATAATTGAGTTAATCGCTTTTTATGCAAATTGTTGTCAAGCTACCTCCACTTATAAAGCCTTGCATACTCCTTGGAGTCAATTTTATTTCTGGTTTATGACGGGTAAGTCTAGCTGAGTACATTCGAGTACTCAGGGTTTATCCCACCATGTTGCAGGTAAGGTTTTGGCCTGCTGAAGATGGTGGCTAACCACCGGTGGGCTCGGTGACTCTATATTCACTTCTCATCTATATGCTTTTGTCTGAGGATGTCACTTATGCTAGCAATGTATTTGGACTCATATTAATGAAATCCTTCGAAAGAAATGTTGTTTTCACTAATCGGTTTTGAAATCCAAACTTGTATTATTATTTATGAACCTAATTGTAATATTATTTCCGCTGCAACTCTGTGTATGTGATGTGTATTTGCTTAATCACGCGATCTTGGTTGTGATGTTGATTTACCGAGGTCCTGCGTGACACTCGGCGGACTACCGGGTTTATATAAGTGAGAGTATGCGCGTGTCAACGTGTTAAGCGGGGACAGCCGTACTTGATCTTGTATAAATTGGGCGGTTCTGTCACATGTCTCATCTTCTCGATGCTAGTGATGTTCGGACGACGTGGGCCCGTATGGGGATGAGCAGCATGGGTGGGACGAGTCATTCAAGCGGCGCAGAATCCGAGTGGGTGAGGCGTGCGAAACAGAGCAGGCAAAGGGCGTGGGGAGCGACGTCCGGCGCAAGACGCAGGCCTCGTGCTGGACGTTCCGGCGCTATTCGTTTCGTTAAAAAAAACTAAGGGATGGAAAAATACCTTTAAAGTAAATGTACAAGTTGCCACCTTTGCATTGCATATTGAGATTTTTACCTGTGTGCTATTATAAAAGTTGGTAATTACACATAAACCACTAAAAAACTTGAATTCTCACATGTGCCACTGCTCTGAACTCTTTTGCCCTTCATGCCACTTCCGTCAGATTTAGCCATAACGGTGTTAAATCGTGGGTGCGAAAAATCAAAAATACCCTTAGGTCTGAATACGCAATTAAATTTTTTGAGCATGTTAATGACCTCCAATGAAAAAACTCAAAACTAGAAAGTTGTAGATCTCGACAATATCTATAATTTTTGTAAAAAAATATCTTTTATTTAATTCCGTACAAAAAAATGATTTGATATAATTAATGTCTTAGAAAAATCACATTTTTTATACAGAATTAAATGAAAATAATTTTTATATAAATATTATAGATCTCGATGAGACCTATTACTTTCTAGTTTTGAGTTTTTTCATTTAAGATCGTTAAGATGCTCAATAAAAATTAATTACATATTCAAATCTAAGGGTATTTTTAACTTTTTATGCCCGTAGTTTGACATCGTTAGTGTTAAATCTGACAGAAGTGGCGTGTAGAGCAAAAGAGTTCAGAGCACTGACAGCTGTAAAAACTTAATTTTTTAATAATTTATGAGTAATTATCATTTTTTATAACGACACACATGTATTCTGTCCAAATTTGACGACGCTTGAGCGTCAGAAGTCACAAGCTTTGCCCTTGTTTAGTTCGTGAAATTTGGATTTTGGGGCTACTGTAGCACCTTCGTTTTTATTTGGCAAATAGTGTTTAAACATGGACTAATTAGGCTCAAAACGTTCGTCTCGCAATTTCCCACCAAACTGTGCAATTAGTTTTTCTTTTCGTCTACATTTAATGCTCCATGCACGGGCCGTAAATATTCGATGTGATAGGTACTGTAGCAACTTTTTAGAAGTTGGGTGAAACTAAACAAGGGTTTTGCTGTTCACTGTTCAGAGTCACGAGCCTAGCGAACCGACGACTCTCGAACCCGAACTCAGACTCCGTCAATTCGCTCCCTATCTTTGCATACCCGCATTGTGTCTACCCTGTTCCTCTCCTCACCGCGCGCGTACGCCGCCGCCGCTCACCTCACCGAACCCTAAACCCCAGCGTCCGTGCCCCCCGAGGTCCGCTGCTCCGGGAGAGACCCTAGGCGTCGCCGGAGGCCCCCGCGGCTGGCGCGCGCGGCGGAGGAACCCGGAAAGCGACTCCCCCTCCCCTCCCCTCACCGGGGGAGGGAGAAACTAGCAGAGGAGTCGAATCAGGTCAGAGAGGGGTAAGATGAGGATCATGATCAAGGGAGGCGTGTGGAAGAACACGGAGGATGAGATCCTCAAGGCGGCCGTGATGAAGTACGGCAAGAACCAGTGGGCGCGCATCTCGTCGCTGCTCGTCCGCAAGTCCGCCAAGCAGTGCAAGGCCCGCTGGTACGAGTGGCTCGACCCCTCCATCAAGAAGGTAACCGATTACTCGCCTGTCTCACGGATCTGTCTCTCCTCTCTCGGTAGACTAGCCTCTCCGCCCGGTCGCCGTTCTATTACTGATTTTTTCCGGTGTTTGGAGTGTCATTCTGCTAAGGATCTAGTGGTACAATTTCCGCTGTGAGATGTGAACTGCTCATTTGTGTGAAGTGAGATGCCAATCTAACGATTTTGTGCTATCTGAAACCTTATCTTCTCTACTATATGCACTTATGCAGTGTTCTAAAAATCATTAGCTGGGATTTGTTGGGATTGGCTGGGTTACCCTTCTGACAGCAATTATTGGCGGTAATTAGGTAGCACACTTTCCTTTAAAATGGGTCTAGCAACCACATTTAGAACACTGTCTTTATGTTTTTCTGAATCCTGCTGCATTGGCAAGGCCGCAATTCACAATGAGAGGGCAACTGTCACTGGATGGTGCCTGGTTCACCCAAATCAGTAGAGATGCGATTATTAAGTATACTGGAGTGGTGTTGTGATGACACAGTTTAGTTGTTTTAAATTAAACTTTTCAGCAGCCCAGCATGTTGTCTGCCGAGAAAGTAGAAAGCACCGAAGTGAATAAGTGATTTCCTTTCCTCTGAAATCTTGCATGCTTAATACTTGACTTAGTTCTTCGCAATTTAGTGTCATGATGATCCAAAGTAGCCAGTGGACTCTTCCTTTTATCTTGCTTTTCCCATATGGCTGACCAGGTCCCCCCCAGCCATTGTAACAATGATTCCTGCATGCTAAAAGAAAAAAAGAGATGATTTTTGTATGTATTTATGCAATGGAACAACAACATGATTTATGTTCTATGAACCTTGATTAGTATGCTGGTTATGGATTGTGACAATCTCTATGATTGGATGACTAAGTGTTATCCTTTCGCAAGCATCTGAACTGGCGAACTTTAGAATAAGATAAAAGAACATCTGCTTTCATCTTGAACATCTTGAGCTTCAAGTTGGCAGTAATACAAAACATTGGCACCCTTACTTTAGTAGGTTATTGATTCTAATGCCTTTTGGAGCCAGATAGCAAATTGTGATCTTTTGGTTTTGTCTTGGTAAGCATCCATGTTTACATGCTGTGGATTCAGCATCAGCTTATAACATCTATTATTTCTACCAGCTAGACAACATACATTTCAACATAGATATTAACTAAATGAAAAGTTTTAGTCAATTAGTCTAGTGGCCACTATATGTAACTGGACTAAGCACCTGAATCTTTTTTTTTTCTTGCCAAAAGAGAAATTTTGCACTGTTTTATGTAAAATTTGATATTTTGGTTGTGAGAAATGTCTATAGCAGATGTAAACTACTAAAAGAAGGTTTGGTCCACTGGGTAGATACTTTATTTTATCTGAAATTATGCTGAAGGACAGCTTCTTTGAATTGGATTTGGTTATTCAAAGTGGTCCACTGTGTTGCGATCAGTGGCATACCACTTCTACAGTTAGGTTCTCAGTGACCAAATAGCTTTATCAGCAGCAGTGGTTCCATGCTGACTACCTATTGTAATCTGTCTAAAATTTTGTCATACTGTGAAAATGCACCTATATAGTTTATTAAGTTTGAATTAATAAGCTAATGGGCTGATTCAATGCTTAATTGGTAAATTGAGTTCTAATTTACTTTCTCTAGTCTTAATGTATTTAATTGCAAGAACAGGGTGAAATATGAATATTAATTAATGGACCATTGACATACTGTAGTTAATAAAGAGTCTACTTATCTTGTTTTGGAACTGGTTAGCTTCTGGAAATTTTTAGTGTTCATATATTTCTAGTTGTTGCTGTGCAAATGATTGGTTATTACTGGCTGCTGGCTTGCAGCTATTTTGCAAATGTCAGTTTTTAATTGACAAGTGTTCCTTGGTAACATAGAGCTATTAAACCTTTTCATGCTTTAATATTTATAAGATGAATGTCTGTAAGTTTATCAGTCAATATTTTTTTCTGATATATGAAATCAATACAACCTATGTTAGCATTTTCATAATCATTAGCGGAGCCAGAAGCTTTTAGGAGCCCGGGCAATTCTTATTATGCAAAAATATTTAGCTAGAAAATTACAGGGTTCTACTTTGATATATATTTTTTTTCTTTTGAACGTCGGCGACGAGCCCAGCAGGCTGCCTGGGGTGGCCGGGCGGTGGCTCCGCCACTGTTCATCATTGTATTGATAATTTGATATAACTTGGAATGCTACTAGCAACTATGCTTCATATTTATAAGCAGTGCATTAATGACGTTTATAAGAAGTACTGTCTCTATATTTTTATCTCTTCCTGTGACTATTCATGTTTTGCTGCTAAATTTAGAAGACAAAGCCTTTCAGTTTTCTCTTAGGATATTCTGTTATATGTCCAGAAGATTGCTATATTTGATGCAGCTTTTGTTTTCTTGCTGTGTTGAGTGTTAATACTTAATACCTTTTCCATGTAACATGCTTTTACACTGTTTAGTATCTTTTTTAATAAAGAAAACACATATTTGGGTCCACATGTGAAAGAACTTCATGAATGTTGAAGACTGCTATAGAGTTGAAACCATTCCAATATTTGAATTCTGCAGACCAGGACCTATATCATTACCAAGATAAACGCCTTTTCTTCATTTATTGAAATGTGGACCCATGTTGCTAAAAGTATAATACACCCATTAATGTCTTTTTCTTAATAATAGGCTCTAAATCTAAATGAATGCGTGGTACACTAGTATTTGTAATTTGTAAATACGGTGTTGGATTACAGTAATCTAATTTTTAACTTTACTGAAGTTCTTGGAGTTCACATTGTCTGCAACGTATTGAAGTGAATGATTTCAATAACCCATAACCTTCAGAATAGTTCTTTCATTGGTCATGTGCTGTATTATGGCATAGGTCTGTCTTGTTTACTGATGTCCGTCATGAAGATGATTCTTTTATCATTCGCTCACTGTGCTAACTCATCTATGTTAATTTCAGACTGAGTGGACAAGGGAAGAGGATGAGAAGCTACTTCATCTTGCTAAACTCATGCCTACTCAGTGGAGGACAATTGCACCTATTGTAGGTCGAACACCATCTCAGTGTCTTGAACGTTATGAAAAATTGCTTGATGCTGCATGTGCAAAGGATGAAAACTATGAGGCCAATGATGACCCTAGGAAGCTGCGGCCTGGTGAGATTGACCCAAACCCTGAGTCAAAGCCTGCACGTCCTGATCCTGTTGATATGGATGAAGATGAAAAAGAAATGCTTTCTGAGGCTAGGGCTCGTTTAGCTAACACTAGGGGTAAAAAGGCAAAACGGAAGGCAAGAGAGAAACAACTTGAAGAGGCAAGACGGCTTGCATCACTACAGAAAAGGAGAGAATTGAAGGCGGCTGGTATTGATACACGCCACAGAAAAAGAAAGAGAAAGGGGATTGACTACAATGCTGAGATCCCATTTGAAAAGAGACCACCTCCAGGTTTTTATGACACTGTTGGTGAAGACAGGCCACTTGAACATGTACAGTTTCCAACAACCATTGAGGAGCTTGAAGGGAAGAGAAGAGCAGATATAGAGGCACAGTTAAGAAAACAAGATATCGCCAGGAACAAGATCCTGCAGCGACAGGATGCCCCTGCTGCTATAATGCAAGCGAATAAACTAAATGACCCAGAAGCTGTCACAAAGAGGTCAAAGCTAATGCTGCCACCTCCCCAAATTTCTGACCATGAGTTAGAGGAGATAGCAAAGATGGGCAATGCTGGTGATCCTGCTTTAGCTGATGAGCTTGGTGAAGGAAGTACTGCCACAAGAACTTTGCTTGCCAGCTATTCTCAGACTCCAAGGCTTGGTATGACACCATTGCGAACTCCGCAACGAACTCCAGCTGGGAAGGGTGATGCAATTATGATGGAGGCAGAAAATCTTGCACGTCTTAGAGAATCACAAACACCTCTATTAGGAGGTGACAACCCAGAGCTTCATCCATCAGATTTCTCTGGTGTTACACCACGTAAGAAGGAGATACAGACACCGAATCCAATGGCAACACCTTTGGCAAGCCCTGGACCTGGTATTACTCCAAGGATTGGTATGACACCATCTAGAGAGGGGCACAGCTTTGGTTTAACACCAAGAGGAACTCCTTTTCGTGATGAACTGCACATAAATGAAGAGGTGGAAATGCAGGACAGCACTAAACTTGAGCTTCGTAGGCAAGCTGAAATGAAAAAAAGCCTGCGATCTGGTTTTGCTTCTATTCCACAGCCAAGGAATGAGTACCAGATAGTCATGCCACCTATTACAGAGGATGAGACAGAAGAAGCTGAAGAGAAAATTGAAGAGGACATGTCAGACAGACTGGCACGAGAAAGGGCTGAGGAACAGGCTAGGCAGGACGCATTGCTCAGAAAGAGATCCAAAGTGTTGCAGAGGAGTCTGCCTAGGCCACCTGCTGCTTCAGTAGAAATTATCCGGCAATCTCTTATTAGAATTGGAGAAAGCAGAAGCAGAAGCACCTTTGTGCCTCCTACATCACTTGAACAAGCTGATGAACTAATAAATGAGGAGCTCCTTAGGCTTCTTGAGCATGATAATGCAAAATATCCTCTTGATGAAAAAACTCAAAAAGAGAAAAAGAAAGGGAGCAAGCGTCAGCAAAATGGGGGAGCTCTTGTCCCTGAAATTGATGATTTTGATGAAGATGAACTAAAAGAGGTGCTATTCTTTTTCTCTGCCCTCCTATATTGGCATTTGACTATTCATGATGAACTCTTATCTCCTCTTTCCTTATAATTTTGCCATTATTTTTTAGACCCACAACATGTACAGTTTCACGGTACTATCATATTAGGTGGACAAACAGTAACTTGAGAACCTATGTACATGTATCTCATTGACACCATAATGTTCGTTATTTGCATTACTTAATTACCAATCACATTGAGTTACTTGAACCGAGGTCAAGTAGCATGCACAATGAATTATGAAAACATGCTTTTCAAGTTCTCATTTTGATTTAATAGCAAATGCATAGATTTATGTGAGTAATATCCTGTAAGGCAGAGGACGTACTTAACATAAATTATTAGAAATTTCAGGTACACAAAATTTTAGCATATTCTTTAAGAGTTAAGATAAATTATAAGAAATTTCAGGTACACAATATTTGAGCATATTCTTTAAGAGTTACGACATTTATTTTACAATTAGAATCTTCTCTTCGAGTGCAGATGATTAGAATTGTTATATGCAAGTGATGTGTGAATTAGAACTGTCATTTTTATGGCATTCAACTTTGGACACTAGAGTACTCTATATGCGCTGCAATATTGTCAGCTATAGCTTGAGCTTTGCATTCTAGTTTTCATGAAATTGATACAACATACATGCATGTATTTGTGTTGAAATTCATGCCAATAACACTAAATTGGACATTTCAATGGATAAAAGAATACAGAGATCGCAATACTTAATCTACAAGCATGGTAGTTATCAAACCATTTATAGTGCATAAGTTTGTATGCTCCTTCATTTGGATTGTTCTCTTATTCTATGGGATGATGGAATAAGTTGTTTAAATGGGCTTAGTTTTATTTTTTAAATTGACAGGCTAGTTCTATGGTTGAAGAGGAGATTCAATATCTTCGAGTGGCCATGGGTCATGAAAATGAATCTTTTGAGGACTTTGTGAAAGCACATGATGCATGCCAAGAGGACCTTATGTTTTTTCCTACCAACAATAGCTATGGTTTAGCTAGTGTTGCTGGAAATGCTGATAAGATTTCTGCTTTGCAAAATGAGTTTGAAACTGTGAAGAAGCGAATGGATGATGAAGCTAAGAAGGCTTCTCGGCTTGAGCAGAAGATTAAGCTTCTGACACAAGGACATCAGGTAAACTTGGCATGTACATCTGCAATCAAGATCATCTATATTTAAGTAATATGTCATATAGCATGGCTTCTTTTGAGTTCTCTTTATTTGGTTTACTGGAAATTTTTAAGTGTGCTTTGCGTGCCTTACCATCCCAGACTGTGGAGCATATTTTAAGCAAGTGGTGCCACAAAATATTCAAATGATAATGAGTCTCAGACCATCAATATCTACAGCTTATAGAAAGCTCAATACGACAGTACATAATACACTGAAATTTGCCATTTCTAGCAACTGTGTTGGATCCCTAATATTCGCTATTGCTTCCATAGACCCTAGGACACCACTTAAAACAATGAAATGACTGGATGCGGGCACAGAGTGTAGTGCTTTGTTGCCCACTGGATTGGCGCCGTAGATAAGTGATACATGGCAGCTGTTGTGGGGGAGGACATGTGATAGACCGGTATTCTAGTAGTACATAAATACACAAACTTCTACAGAGATAGGCTCCAATAGGCAACAGTAGGTTTGTGCCACCATGATGCCTTCCAAACAGTGCGAAAATAATCTTTTGCCTTAGACGTACCATAGCTAGAACATCGCAAATGATGTGTGCAAGTTAGAATCAAGAGATATTAAATTTTAACCCCTGTTCACATCATAAGCATTTATCTCTTTAAAAAAACCACTCAATCAGTCAAATCCACTATTGTTGGACATTAGCTATTTACCAAGGCAACATCAGGTGGCATTGCTGAAAGCACACTTTGTCCTTATACTGAAACAAAGAACAATGTTTGCCTTCAAATACTGAACTAAGAACTTAATGCTTAGAAGCCTTAGATTTCTAGGATCAACAGATATAACTGCAGGTACATAGTCGTCGAACCCAACATAACATTTGGTGACTGTTTCTTACGAGTACGAATAGCGCATAATTCATAACACATATCAGCAGACTGCAGTAAATGAATAATCAAAATTTTTATGGTCAATGTATTTTTTTAGCTAGGTAGAGAAGGTGAGATGCAACCAGTTAATGCTTCCACCACCAGTAAACACGAATCATTTAAAATACATATACCAGAATCAACCATCACAATGGATTTCTTTGGCGCTTCCTCACATCAGCTTCCCCATACATGCTTCGGCGGATGTTTTCCACCTTCAACGGCCTCTTGAGCACAAGAATCTTCATATGGCTTTCCTTGAGCCTTCTCAGGCGACAAACGGACCTCTGCCAACTGCCACGCTCCTGTCTGAATCGGCCTAGTCAACTCCTGATGTGGAGAAAGGGAAGGGAAATTGGGAAGGAGTGTGAGAGAGATGGACAAGGTAAAAGGAAGCAAGATCAGTGGGCTCACCAAATCTTGCTTCTACCGCTGTGCTCGAGAAACCCAGCCCCGCTCGCCACCACCTGCGGAGAGCGCGTATGGAGGCCAGATGCCCAGATCCAACAGCACAGACACCAGACTTGCCAGTGGCAGTCTCTCGGTGAACCAAGATCTCGGCGGCATGACAAAGAGCGCTGCCCCACTTCAAGTTGCTCGTGCTGCTGGTCATCGCCACTTGCATAGTTGCGGTGCTCAAAGGGCTTGCGTCTTCAGCAAGCGGTGACATAGCTGCAGCGTACTGCACTGGTGACGGTATCAGGGCTGCAGCGGCGCGGCTGTGTGAGCGGATGGCTGAGCCTCCCCTGAGCTTCGCGCGACCTGCGAACCGTAGATCTGGAATGACGCCCGCGCTCGAGCGAAGGCAGCACCGGGAGACGCGTGAAGCGAGGGGCGGCGGCGGGGAGAACCGGAGAAGAGAAGGATTGCTGGATTGGAGAGATGAACAGCGAATGTGGGGAGCGAGGGTTGCCTAGGGGGTCCTCTATAAAATGGCCAGCAGGGATTTTATGCAAAATTAATGGAGATCATGAATTTTCTCTTCTTCATGTAGAAATAAAATTTAGTTCAAGGGGTTAACTGAAAAACATATGAACATGTACACTATGGGTTGGCTGGATAGGACCGCGGGTTGAATTAATAAAATATGGAGGGCTTTTGTGCAAAACAGCTGAAGCCATGCGTCTGTACGCGAAGCCCGTGAAACGCTCTCGTGGAGGCAAACCAGAGTAGGTTTTAAGGAACCTGATGTATTCTTCTCTTTCATCTGCCCCATTTTTTGAATTGTAATCAAATACTGGACCCTGTTGAAGCCAGCCTGAATAATTGAATATGATAGATACTGGACTGCTACAAACTAGTATTATTAGGTCTTGCTTTTTGCCTGACTAAATTTACTCCCTTATTCATTGAAACAAAATTGTTGACCATACAGATTACATCTTGTCTCACTGCATATCCTATTCGAGTGCTGATGTTTCGCTAACGTGCTGTTTGCTTTTTATTAGGTACGGGCTGGAAAACTGTGGTCACAGGTCCAAGATACATTCAAGCAGATGGACACTGCTGCAACAGAACTCGAATGCTTCCAAGAGCTGCAGAAACAGGAACATCTTGCTGCTTCGTATCGAATCCTAAATCTGACTGAAGAAGTGAATAAACAGAAAGCACTAGAAAGGACCCTCCAGAGCCGCTATGGTGAGCTGGTTTCTGGTTTTCAGAGGATCCAAGAACAGCTCGAGGAGCACAAGAAGCAACTCAAGGTACAGGAGGCAATAGAAGCCGAAAATCGTGCTCAGGAAGAGGAAGTTGCGGCACCGAATCATGCTGCTGAGGAAGAGGATGAAAGTAAGCCTCTCAGCTCTGAAGAGAAGTCACAGCAGACAAATAGAGCTACTGATGACGAGGCTGCAGGAAGCAAGGGAACCACCGAGAATCAGATGGATGTGGACAGCGGGAATGTAGACGGTGGATTCGTAGGGCCTCCTATCCCACCAGCACCAGACACTGAAGGGGATAATGATGAAGTATCAGTTCAAGAGAACACTTCTAACACCCAGAGTAGTGAGTGTGCCTCCACGAATGATGGGGCTGACAAGATCGATCAAGCCAAGTTAGGTCAGGATAAAGCAGATGACATTATGGCTGCTGATGCTGGCCCTCAGGAAGAGGGCAAGGATGAACTTGCACCTGTTGGCGCCAGCATAAGTGAAGAAAACACCACTGTATCTTTGGATCAAGCTGTCTCAAAGGAGGATGAAGGCAGGGCTCCTGAATGAAATATTGTTTGATGACTAATTGACTATACCTCCAGCAGCAGCAGCAGCAGCAGTCTACTTAACAGTGTCAAATTCATATAGTATGCCTCTCAAAACGGGGATACCAAATTTGTTTTCTTTAGCCGCTTGATGCACCCCCCGTATTCTCCAACGTGTTTTCAGTCCTAGTTCAAGCTGTGTTTCCTTTGGAGATTCGAATTTTATCTTGATGTTGATTTTCAATTCTGGCTGTTACAAACCTGCTATGTTAAATTTTCTGTCAACATTTCCACCTCGACGAGAGAAGAAAAACATGCAAATATCTAAAGTAACATTGCACGTGTCATGAGGCCATCCTTACAAGATCTGATTTCAACTGATAACTTGATGTGATGCTCACGACCACACTGCCTAGTGTACACAACTTGTGTACGAAAAAGTGCAGGAGCCCTGGTCCATGCCCAAGCATGAGGTTCAGGCATACTAGCGTCCGGATAACCTCAGGTTCTTGGTCGCGTCGCGTCCAAATTCCTGCCCATCCTTTGGACCCAACCTGCATCCCAAGCACGACAACAAATATCTCCTCTCCTTCCTGAAACCTGAGTAGGCAGGCACCCGGCCAAGAAATATCCTATACAAGAGATATTTTTAGTTGCTGCAAAAGGTGCAGACATGTGTCGCTGACAGCAGGGCCAAAAGCGCACCGGGTGGATCCAAGTCATGTCTTCTCAAAGTATCAGCAGGGCACATTTGGGCAACACTGGACCACAGGAATGGTCAGTGTGAAGGAGTGGGCCACATCGTTGTGCAACCGTTACCCTCAAAATAGATTGCTCTGAATCTGAATGGGTAAACTGGCAGATAGATATTCAGTGTCTTTGGTCTTTACAATATATGTATGTATGTATAAAAGGAGTGGCCTCCTTGACAGGTTTAATTTTTGAGAGTGAACATATATCAGGGCACACTAGCTTCGGTTACAAATCCCCTGTTTTGCTTGAGACTGATTTTGTTCAGTTCAAACGCATGGTGGTCCTATCTTCATCTGAATATCTCAAAGAAGATGGACAAATATATCATGGAAAGGACTTGAGAACTATAAAAGGGATCCGATTATAAACACGACACACACTGACATTTTTCTCAAGTATATTTCACACATATTTTTCTTTCACGGAAAGCTCAACCGGAACATGGTTTTCTCCTATTATGTTAGGATGGTTAAATTGTAAATTTTAGCACCCGAAACATGCAGAAATAAGCGAGGAAGCTAAGGTGAAAAAAAAAGGTCAGGGCAGAGCAATGCCCAAATAAAGAAAATGAGACTCGGTAAGAAGACCCTGAACAGTAGGCACTCTCCTCACCTCAGTCACTACTTTCCCGCGCTATCCATATATAAACCCCCTCCTTCCTCCTCTGCATGCCTCAACAACCCGTCTCCAAGAAACCACCTCCCCTCGCTCCAATCCCAATCCAAATCCCAACCAATAGAACCCAATCCGATCAGTCCCCACGCAATTTCATTCCCATCTGAGTTTTATCTCTCTCTCTTTTTTTTTTTTCCTATAATAAAGATCCGACCGGAGTCCGGCAGCTAATTCACCCGGCGGGATTGGAGATGAAGGTCGACAGGGAAATGGAGATTCTGCTCAACGAGATCCCCCTCCTCCACCACGGTGGCCTCCTCGGCGGCAGCGAGGCCGCCGGCGCGGACGACGACGCCGACCTCTCTTTCCTCATCCACGAACTCGCCGCGATGGGCGTCGTCGACGGCGATGACGAGCCGCCGGCGCCGGGCGCTGCCAACGGCGGCTTCGGCTTCGGCTTCTCCGGCATGATTTACCCCAAGAAAGGCGGCGAGAATCTGGTCGCCCTGCACCCGTTCTCCATGGCCAGCCACTGCGCGCACATGCCCTCTCTGTTTGATCCCGTCACCTTCGACGCCGCCGCTGCCGCTGCCATCGACGACTGGGACATCCGGTGCTCCCCGCCGCCTTCTGTTTCTGTGCCGCCGCCGCCCGCCACGCCGAGGGCCCGGTGCAAGAACGTGAGGAGGACGAGCCCCAAGAAGTGCGGAGCCGCGGCGGCGGCGGCCAACAACAAGTCGCACGGCGAGAGCCTGGCCGGCCTGCGCGGGGTCATGTCCCACATCGCGCGCGACCAGCACGGGTGCCGGCTGCTGCAGCAGAGGCTCGACGACGGCAAGCGCGAGGTCGACCATATCTTCGCCGGCGTGTCGCGTCACGCCGCGCAGCTGATGGTGGACCCGTTCGGGAACTACCTCATGCAGAAGCTGCTCGCCGTCTGCGACGCCGGGCAGAGGATGGCGCTCGTGCTCACCCTCACCGCTGACGCCTTCGTACTCGTCAGGATATCCCTCAACGTCCATGGGTATAACTGTCAATTCACTCCCTGATTTTTTTATTGTTAATAATATACTCTCTTTTTTTCTCTTGTTGATCTGTGGTTTTGGTTGAATCCGGTGATGGGCGTTTCAGGACACGGGCAGTGCAGAAGCTGATTGAGAGCCTCAGGACAAGGGAAGAGATTAGTCTTGTCATCGATGCTCTGCGTCCCGGGTTCTTGGAGCTCATCAAGGATCCCAATGGCAATCATGTCGTGCAAAAGTGTTTGCAGTCGTTTGAAGCCGACGATAACAAGGTATGTATGTGTGTGCATCTGGAATTTCTTATGCCGCCATTTGCTCTGAAGTTTAGAGATACTTTCTGTTCCAGTGGTTACATCTTCTGTAGATGAGTTCTTTGTTACAAGATTTAGACGAAACATTTCGATTCAGAAAGCGATGATGGGTAATGAAGGCAGATATAAGTAATTCTGTAACTGTATTATGCCATTGACAGACATTCTTTTGATACTGATTGATGACAGATTTGTCTTGGACCGCTTTCACATGTCTGAATTTTGTGGCCTCACTTTTGTTTATTAAGATCAGATATTAACTGACAAATTACAATCTTCAGGCGATCTTTGATGCTGCTGCACTCCACTGTCTCGATATTGGGATGCAGTGCCACGGTTGCTGTGTCCTACAGCGGTGCATTGCACGATCGCGTGGTGAGCACAGGGACAAGCTGGTTGCTGCCATTGCTTGCAATGGATTTAAACTTGCCCAAGATGCATATGGGTAATAGTCTGTCCAAAAGTCTTCAAGATCCGTCATTGCATTTTCATACTTGCATCTCTGGACCCAACTTGCAACATTTCTATGTACTTTTATCAGTTTTATTTAAGCCTTGTGCGCTATGGTTGCAGGAACTATGTTGTCCAGTATGTAATAGACTTGAAGATTCCAAATGCAAATTCAAGTCTTGCACAACAGTTTGAAGGCAAGTATATCCATCTGTCCATGCAGAAGTTCAGTAGCAATGTGGTTGAGAGATGCCTGAAAGTCTTCAAGGAGGTTGACAAGGCCAAGATCATAATAGAAATCCTCGACACGCCACACTTGGAGCAATTGCTTCAGCACCCCTATGCAAACTATGTCATCTACTCTGCTCTCCAGAATTCCAAGGTAAACCTGATGAAAAGGATCTCATCCTTAGAATTTTTATAGTAACTAGTAATTTGTTGAAATTTATTACTGTGATTCCTTCGAGGAAATTTATTACTGTGATGGGAATTTCAGGGTTCACTTCATTCTGCACTGACAAATGCAATCCGACCTCATGTGGAACTACTTAGGACCAGTCCATACTGCAAGAGGATATATTCTCGAGCTTTGCTGAAGAAATGATGAATTGATGACAGGTTTTCAGCTTGTAACAAGAACGATTGCTCTCTTGTGCTATTTTTTTTTTCAGTTTCAAAAGGCATAAAGATGATCACCCAATAGATCTGTATAAATTAGTATTCTTTGGTTATGTGCTTCTACCTGTACCTGTAATTGATGCACGGCGCCTGGTGCTGCATAATCATCTGGGACGGAATAAGTTCAATCGAAAGTATTCTACAAACTATTTCATATATATGTAATGTTTTACGTTGTTGTTGCATGCAAAGATATTGCTGTTGTTACCTATTGATGCAGTTCATCATTAATTCCATTGCAACTGGGGATGGAAATGAGAAAATGACACCCAACAAGACAGAAATTGTGTTGCAACTTGGTGTCATCCCATTTTGGGCAAGAACAAAAAGAACTACACGAAGGGCATGACAATAACTTCGTTGTCTGAAATAACAACAGAAGCACTTAACTTTTCTTAAGATTCATAACATCCAATTATTTATAGCAGTAAAGCAACCTACAAGAAATCACTCAGATTTTATCGATGCCTCAATCATTTAAAATTGTTGCAAAGGAACTGTTGCTAGAACAATATCAAACGGAGTAGGAACAGGAATGAAAAAAAAGGACATACCCAGTGCAGAGAGCCCCCGCTCTGTGCGGGGTCTGGGGAAGGGTGTTAGTGGCAAGCCTTACCCTCGCCTGTGCAATGCGAGGAGATCACGACTCGAACCCGGGACCTTCCGGTCACAGGCGGTAAGACTCTACCGCTTGCACCAGGCCCGCCCTTCTAATAGGAACAAGAATGAAACGAAGTGAATTTACTGAAGACCAGATTTAACAAGTCACAAAAAGGAGACTAGCACATAGGAAATAAAATATTCATTTTTTAGGAAACAGGAAATAAAATATTCATATTAACCCAAAAACGAAAAATAAGGGGAGAAAGTATACGTCCGACACTGGAGAAGGAAGTATTTTTTATGTACTGCTCATCCTGCATTGATTTGTTCTAGTATGTCATTGAATTATAGTAAAATACTACGATTTGTTCCAGTGCGGAGCTCGAGCAGAAGCTAGCGCAACCAAGTGGTTTCAGAGACGGCACTGGCCACAGTGCGATACTCGACTTTAAAACTGGAGCGGGACACTGTCGCCTGGTGCTTGGAGCACCAGGAGATGAGGTTGTCGCCAAGGAACATTGCATAGCTTGATGTGGATTTGCGTGTATTTGGATAACCTGCCCAATCAGCATCAGAGTAGACCACCACCT